TGATCGCATGCTGCCGCCTCTTCAAGCAGAAGGACCACAACCAGAAGCCCATCTTCACAGAGAACATCAAGACATTGATGACACGCTCTACATCTTTTTGGTGGACTATTTTGTTGAGCAGCGAGAGCAGGAGCTCGAGGAGCAGGAGCTACATGCAGCACTACAGGCACATTTGCAGCAGCACGCTATCTCCTGGTCGAGCATGACACGCACCTTCAACTTCTTTGTGGACAACCTGAACGACACCGACGCGGACTTCCTTGGCGTTCCTCTGCGGAGGATCTATAAGGTGTTTGAGCGCTTGGGACGACCGGAAGCTTGGGCCTTCGGTAGCTTCACGAAGCCCTCCAAATTGGACAGGCGCACGATCCCGTCCATCCACGAGGCACTGGGCAATTTGGCGGACCAGATCGAGCAGAAGCCCTTTTGCGCGGAAGTGCCCCGTTCCTTTGCAAAGCACCGCATCATCTTGCACGCTTTTGCAGGAAGGCGTCGGTTGGGCGACATACAATACTACCTGGAAAGGGACATGCACCCTGACTCTGGCTTCACTATGACAGTTGTATCCCTTGACATAGTCATTGATGCTACATGGGGCGACGCCTCCAGATCCACCACACGGGAGATGTGGCTACGTGCGATTCGGGAGCGACATGTGCTTGCCTTCATAGCTGGCCCACCATGCGAGACGTGGAGCAGAGCCCGAGGAGTGCAAGCAGAGCCTCAAGCTGACGACGACGAGGGTCACATGCCCAGAGTTCTCCGTGATGAAACGGAGCTTTGGGGTTTTAGCTGTCTGGCGATCCGTGAAGCATACCAGGTCATCATGGGGAATTGCCTCCTATGCTTTGCGCTTGAAGCTCTGGTTGAAACAGCCATTGCTGGTAGTGTTGGTTTGCTTGAACACCCTGCGGAGCCCACAGACTGTAAAGGACTGGCTTCGATTTGGAAATTGCCGATCATGCAAGTCTTGGTGCTCCTCCCAGGAGTCGAAAGATTGCGTTTCGCGCAGGGTTTGATGGGTTCGAAAACGCCCAAACCAACAGAACTCTTAAGTGTCAACTTGCCTCACATGTTACCTTTTTTGCACATGTACAGAGTGCGGAAGGAATTGCCCCATGGCAGAGCTGTGGGCAAAGACGCTTCGGGTGGCTGGCGCACCACCGCCCTAAAGGAGTACGCTCCTGCCTTTTGCCGCGCCATTGCATCAGCGATCAGATCTGTTTTTGACCATCGTGCGGTTACGGCTGAATCGCCTGTCATCCCACAGCATTTTCTCGATCTGTGCCAATCTATGCAAGTGTCACATTTTGGCGATTTTATCGGTAAGGATTATGCTGTGCGTTGACATAATGTCTAGTTTTTCAGAATTCATCAGAACTTTGCCAAGCCGCTGCTGACGCAACTATGGGCGAGAGCAAAAAATATACAGTATATTTGTAATATACATGTATAGAGAATACATATACGGTAACGACATTTAAATATGTGGAGGGCGGGCCAGACTGCGAGGCCTCGGAGGTAGTATGAAACACCCGTTCCATCCGTATGTTTAAATGGCTGGGCCCGTTCCGCATATTTAAATGTCGATTCAAGCACAGTTAAACCATTATATACCTACATACCTATATACTTACCTACATACCTACGTACATACCTACATACATACCTACATACATACCTACATACCTACATACCCACACACACACCTACATACCTACATGCATACCTACCCATATAC